GGACTGAATGTGGAACAATAGTTATAACCCCTTCCACACCCCACCCTGACAATATTTTTCCAGCTAGAGAAGGGCCACACCCAAACCTTATCTTGCCCCAATCTTTTCCCAGGAAATGTTTGTCTGAATTTCTGCTGAAAGGCTTTTTTTTTTCCTTTAAAGACATAGAGGACAAAAACTATTCTCAGCCCTGGTGAGAAATCCGACCAGAGTTTTAGGACCATAACTGGGTTATGAGGACCCACTCCATAAAAGAGGGACAATTCCCATTGGCCTGCCTCAGGCTCTGAAATTCTACCATTGGAGAGTCATCCCTTGGGGATTAACATTACCCTCTCCAAGCTCCCCTTTTCGAATGCAGGTTCCTTGGAAGGAGATTGGGAAATTACAGAATCTCAGAGCTAGAACAGACCTCAGAGACCAGTACTATACAAGAATCTCTTTTATAACATCCCCAGCAAATGGTAATACAGAGCATTCCAGGTATGGGGACAACCAGTGAAAAGACAGAGTTGGGAGATAGAGGGTTGTAGTCAAGGAAGTTAACAATAAAATAAAATAAAATAGAATAAAGAAACAAAAAGCCAGAACAGTTAGATTGTATAGTACCTAATGGGGAATAACATGTAAATGAACTGGAAGGAGGCAAGTTGGCTTTAAATGCCAATCAGAAGATTTCATAGCTTATCCCAAAGGTAGTAGGGAGCCACTGAAATGTGTTGAAATGAGGAGAGGGTGACATAGTGACATCATCAGATCTGCACATTAGGAAAATCACTTTGGCAGCTGAGTAGAGGATGAATTGATGGAGAGAAAGAATTGAGGCAAGGACACCATAGAAGACTATTGCAGTAGTACAAGTATGAGGGAATGAGAGCTTACACCAAGTTGGTGACTGTGAGTAGAGAGAAAGGGACATATATGAGATGTTGTACAAGTAGGTATAATAAAACTTGGCAACCTATTGGATATGTGGCATGAGGCTGAGAGGAATCATCAAGATTGCAAGTCTGCATCACTGGTAGAGTGGCACTTTCCTTGAGAGTAAAGTGCAGTTTAGAAGAGGGGAGGGTTTGAGAAGAAAGATAATGAGTTCTGTTTTGGAGGTGGTGAGTTTGAGGTGGCTAGCATGTAGTATGAGATGTCAAAAAGCCAGCTAGTGATTCTAAACTGTAGCTCAGGAGAGAAAGGTTAGGGCTAGATATATAGATCTAAGAATCATTTGAGATAATAATTAGACCCATGGAAGCTGATGAAGTCAGTAAGTGAGATAGTATAAAGGGACAAGAAAAGACCCAGGCCAGAGCCTGGTGGTGGAGGCAGTGGGGCTGAGAGGGACATACCTGAGATCACAGAGATGGGAAAAATTCATATGGTGGAAGACCAGACTGTAGGAGATTCACTGAGTAGCACTTGGGAGAGTCACTAAGGTGAAGTACAGATTTAGAATCAGGAGACTGGAGTTCAGATTCAGGTTCTGACAGTCAGAACTAGTGTGATCTTTTTTTATTTTAGAGGGATGGGATGAAATGACTTGATCAAGGTCACATAACTACATCGGTGTGATCTTGAGTACTAGCACAAGAGTCTCTGTTTTCCAACCTATAAAATAATGGAGTTGGCTTGAACGATCTCCTAAGGTCTAGATCTACATTTAGTTCAATTCTACAAGTGTTTATTAGTCAATCAACCAACTAGCATTTACATACCAAGAACTGCTCTCAGTGCTGAGGATATAGAGAAAGGCAAAAACATAGTCCCTGCCTTCAAGGAGCTTACAGTCTAATGGGGGATCCAACATAGAAACAACTATGTACAAACAAGTTACTGGATAAATTAGAGACAACCGTTATTGAGATTGAGGAGGACTGGAAAGGCTTCTTGCAAGAAGGTGAGATTTTGGCTGGGACTTTAAGGAAAGTCAGGCATTGTGCTAAGCCCTGGAGATACAAAGACAAAAAAGAAACAGTTTCTGTTCTCTAGGAACTATGTGCCTGGCACAAAGTAGGCCTTTAGGGAATGCTCATTGCTTGAGTAACATAGCCTACTTCTAGCATATGATACAATATTTATATGAGGAAAAAAATACAATGTATAAAATAATAAAAAATAATTTAAGAGGGTGAAGCTAGCCATAAGTGGAGGGATCAGGGAAGGCCTTGTGTAGCAGGTGGCACCTGTGCTGTATTTTGGAGGCAATGGGAAATTCTACGAGTAGAGGGGAGGAGGGAATGTGTCCCAGACATGGGAAACTTCCTGTGCAAATGTGTGGAGATGAGAGATGGAATCTTAGGATCCCATGATGAGGTTTAGGGACCTGGTCTGCAAAGGTAATAATAATTAATAATAATAATAATAATAGCAGCTAGCATTTATATAGTGCCTACTGTGTGTCAGGTACTGTATTAAGTGTTTTAGAAATATTATCTCATTTTAACCTTCCAACAGCACCAGGAGCTAGCTGCTATTATTATCCTTATTTTACACTTGGGGGAAGAAATTGAGAATGGGGAGTAAGCATTTATTGAGCACATACTGTGTCAGTCATTAAATATTTATTAATTACCTACAATGTGCTAAGCACTGAGCTAAGCACTTTACAAATATTGTCTTATCTGATCCTCACACAACCCTGTGATGAGGGAAACTGAGGCAGGGAGAGGTTAGGTGACTTGTCCAAGATCACGCAGCTGATAAATGTCTAAAGCCAAATTAGAATTTTGGTCATCATGCCTCTAAGTCCAATGTTCTATCCACTGTGCTATCTAGTGGCTGTGAGGAAGAAGGGGGTGTTCCTGTAGCCAGCATCTGCTCATATTTTGGGGTATCAGGACATAAATTTGGGGTTGCTTTTATGTGGGAAGGAGGATCAGTGGTAGTACATAAGATTATTACAGGTCTTAACATTCTTCAAAGTGGTGCGCATTTAGGGTTAGGGATTTTAATGAAGGAATTTTAAGGCACTATCCTATTAAAGCTAACAATTTAAATAAAGCTAATCATGGTCATTCAAAACAGAGCTACAAGCAGACTCCTAGTGACTGCCATGCTTTATACACTGTTTGTGGGAGTCTGCCCAAGTTTGGCTGCAGTGGATGGTACCTCTCTCCACCATGCTTACCCTCCTGTGTAAATATTTTCACCATGGAACACATTCTCCCATGAGCAAAGGGAGGGAATGTGGGTATAATGTTCAGATGTTCTAATAGCTCATGCGTTAATCTTTGCCTTGTAACAAGAGTGACGTGTTTTCTGAAGAAGCTTTCCCTTTGAAAACTATCTGTCCTATTAAATTCTACCACCTTAGCAAAGCTGGAGGCTGCCTGTCTTGGGCAGTACAGGGAACTCTTTTTCTTTTTCTTCTTTTTTTTCTTTTTCTTTTTTATGTTTTTTTCCCACATGCTTTTGAGTTGAAAATTTTTAATAATTCATTAGATATCTTTTTTCTTCTTTTTAATTTTTTTATGTTTTTTTCCATATGCTTTTGAGTTGAAAATTTTTAATAATTCTTTAGATATCTTTTTTCTTTTTTTTTCTTTTTTTGTGTTTTTTCCCCATATGTTTTTGAGTTGAAAATTTTTAATAATTCTTTAGATACCTTTTTTCTTCTTTTTTTATTTTTTTATGTTTTTTTTCCATATGCTTTTGAGTTGAAAATTTTTAATAATTCTTTAGACAGTACAGGGAACTCTTGGAGGGTGGTCTGGATGGCCCTTGTGGTCCTCTCTGGTGAAGCACTCGGGGGCTCAGGTATTTAGGGAGCATATCAATGGCGAACAGATTTTGTCTTCTTGGCTCAGGGTTTCTATATGAGCCTGAAAATGAGGCAGTTATGGAACTGATTCCATCCTGTCAGCCTGTAGTAGGATGACTCCGGACCTTAGGAACAGAGGAAAGGATTTGAGAAGGGTTCGGTGGCTTGTTGTTTATCCTTCCTTCTTGAAGAGGACCAATGACATCAGGAGGGTGATGTCTTGACTTGCAAGTGAATTGGATTTAAGTGAGGCAGGGCTGGGCAAAGTCATCAGCATCACTCTCTCCTCCAGACTCATCAGAGTCCACTGGCAAGACATAAATCAAGATGACTGGTGATGCAGTGGGAGACCTTCACCTTTTTAAGCTAAGGTCTTCCCAAATCTCAATTTGTCTGAGGCAATACCCATTCAGCAGATAAAGGCTAGGCATTGTTCTCCATCCTTTGTTGGATCATTTAAAAGGGGCTGGATTTAAAGGTAGCCAGATGGTGTAGCAAGAGTGTGAATGTGACTGCTAGAGGGAGGAAAACCTGAATTGGAATTTTTTTTTTTTAGGCAATTGGGGTTAAGTGAGTTGCCCAGGGTCACACAGCTAGTAAGTGTCAAGTGTTTGGTCTGAGGCCTGATTTGAACTCAGGTCCATCCTGACTGCAGGGCCGGTGCTCTATCCACTGAACCATCTAGCTGCCCACTGAATTGGTATCTTGCCTGAGATACTTACTAGCTGTGTGACCTTGGGAAAGTCATTTACCCTTGCTCAGTCTCAAATATATCATCTGTAAAATGGAGATAATAATACATCTACTTTATAGGGTTGTTGTGAGGATCAAATGAAATAATGTATGTGTATAAATAAACATAATATAAACATTAGCTATTATCATTCTCCCATCCCACCCTCCTTCCCTTATCTCCACATATCTTTGAGAATCAGACTGGCAGCTCCTGGAGAACAGGGTCCAAGTGTTCTGGGGCTCCTAAGAGCATAATAATAACAATAACAATAACAATAACAACCACCATTTTGGTTTGCAAATCATTTATTTATATACCACTTTGGGATATAAATGTTCACAAATCATTGTACACATATTATCTCATTTGATCACACTTAATAAATGTTTGCTGAATGGCTGAATGAATGAACAAGTCAATGAACATCTGGCCCTGGCTCCTGGCCCAAGGCTGAGTACTCCCTGGGTGACTGACCAGCTCATTATCACCAACTCCCTTCTCTGGTTGCAGTTTCTGGCAGGCAGCTGAGACCAGATGATCCTGATGCAGAAACAGAAGAAGACAACTCTGTAAGTGAAGTCTGGGTAGCCTTGGAATCCCTAGAAATCCACTGGTGTGCCTGGATCCCCTGATGCTGTGCTCTGCCTCCCTTCCAGAGGAGAAGGGCCAGGAGCTCCATATTGCCTCTAACTTGGAATGTGGTGGGAGGTGGGGATGGGGAGGAGGGAAGCAGGCAGTCTGAGGGAAGGGGGAGGTGGTGGGGAGAGAAAGAACTCTGAACTAGGTATTGGGGGACCTGGGTTCTATCCCAGCCCACTCACTAACTTTCTTTAAGACCCTGGGTAAATCACGTTTGCCCCTATTTCCTTCTGTGCAAAATGTAAAATGTTCACAGAGCTGTGGTGAGGAAAGTATTTTATAAATCTTAACATGCTTTAGAAACAAGCCCTTTGTAACTTCCTCTTTAGGAAGTATTCTGCTTAGGGGGAGGGGAGGCTCAGGCCAACACCCCTTTTTTTCTCTTCTTCTTGCAGGTGAATGAAGTACCTATTGATGAAATTATCCGTCCTAGGCCTCAGGGCTCCTCACCAGTCTATGAGTACTCCATTGACGAAGGGCACTTCAGCAAAGGGGTAAGACTTGCCTTTAGTCAATTCAATTTCACAAGGTTTTATTAAGCCCCTGCTAAGTGCCAGGTGCTGTGCCAGGCTCTGTGGATATGAAGACAATAATGAAGTAGTCTCAGCCTTCAAGGAACTTATACTGGGGGATGCAATCCATAGACAATTTGTCTGCCTCCCGTGGAGTGATGCTCCACTCCCCTTCACCCCTGACAGAGGGAATGCTTTGTGCCAATCGTCCCTGTAGACAGAACAAAATAGGTAGTGATAGGCTCTGTCAATTAATAGGGGTTTCTGACTAAATGAAAGGTAACTTTTGTTTCAACCCCCTCCAATCATTTTAGGAGATGCAGCAGAATGGAGTGGAGAGAGATATAGTCTAGGAGTAAGGAAATAGAGATTCATTTGTCTGTGAAATCACAGGACTCCACCCCACACCCCATCCCTGAGCATGAATGCCTTCTACTTCTCTTTCTCATGTACTCCTGTCTGTTACTGACTTACTGTATAACCTTAGGCAAACCTTTGCCTACTCTGAGCTTCAGGGTTATTTGTAAGATGAAAGGGCTGTAGCAGGTGATCACTAAAGTGTCTTCCACCTCTATGTGCTGAGGGTCATACTGATGGTGAAGGGTGGAGGGCCACGTCACTGGTTGAGCTTGTAGAGTTTCAGTGCAATGGCTGGAGTTGAGTCTGGCCTGGGCCAGACCTCCATCTCAGACCCAAGTCTCAGGGCACAAAACAGCTTTGATCTATGTCTTCAGAGACTTAAAAGTCACTGGGATTCTCTGTAAATACAATCAAGACATATGTGGAAGGGAAATTGGCAGGGGGCGAGGGAGAGGTGGAGGAAGGGGAAGAAGAGGATGGAGAAGAACTAGCCAGCCAGTCATCCCAGCTGATATCAGGTCTTCCCAACAGCCTGAAACTGTACCAGGCTGTTGCTGTCACAACAATGGTTTTGGACTGCGGAAGGGAGTGGAAGCTTTTATGTTTGAGCCCATCTTCTCCCTCTAAAACCCGTGGTTCTCTGAGTCAGGAAGAAGCCTGTACTCCTGGGGTGGTAGGAAGATCCAATTATGGCTCTGGTGGGGACCGTCTCACTACCCCATCCTTGGCCCAGTCCACATAAAGACATTCATAAGTTCGGGTATAGCCAGTGGAGGGCAACCAAAATTAGGGTGGGCAGGAGACTATAATAATGATGCTAGCTAACATTTATTCAGCATTTACTATATGCCAGGCACTGAGCTAAGCACTTTAAATTATTATTTCATTTGATCCTCACAACCATCTTGAGAAGTAGGTTCTATTATGATTCTCACTTTACAGATGAGGTTAAATGATTTGCCCAGGGTCACACAGCTAGTAAGTATCTGAGGCTGGATTTGAACTCAGGTCTTCCTGACAGTATGTACTGTGCCACTATGAGAGAAGATTCCTAAACAGAGTGAGACATGCGTGCTTGTCTCTCCCTGCCCTGATGATCTTAGGCTCCGTGTTGGGAAATCAAAATATCCCAGTGACTGAGGGGGAAGGAGAGAGTAGTAGGGCTCCTATGTCCTGCTATGCTATTTGGCCCCTGAAGACAGGTTATCCAGCTAGAGCAGAAGAATTAATCTGGCTTTGATTCTTACTAGCCTTTCCCTTCCCTTTTTCCTAGTAACCATCAGACCAGGGTCCTAAAGGAAAGGAAGCAGCCTCATAGCACCATGGACAGCGGGAGTCTGTATAATGCTTTTTGGGATCTTCAGTGGAGGGCTTTGTGGGATGGACTATGATTATAGAAAATACCCTATGGAATGGGCAGCTAGGTGGATCAGTGGATAGAGCTCCGGCCTTAAAGTCAGGAGGTCCTGAGTTCAAATCCGGTCTCAGACACACAACACACAACACATACAAGCAGTGTGACCCTGGGCAAGTCACTTAACCCCACTTGCCAAGCAAAGCAAGACAAAAGAAGACAACCCTGTGGGGAAGTAACCCAAACAAGACTGTCCCAACCAACACCATTTGACCACAGTGTTAATACATTATTACTAAATATGGCTGTGAAGTTTTGAAACTCTTACTGTGACATTGCTCAGCTGATCCCTCATTGTTCCTCTGTTCCTGACTGCCCCAATAACACTGTTTCTCTTAACATCTTGATTCTGAAGACCTAATGGAATGAGGAAAGCAGATAAGACAATAACATAAATTATAATATAACATATATTATAATCAGCAATAATATACATATATGCATATATACATATATACATGTATATACACACACATACACACACACACACACACACACCACACACACACACACACACACACACACATATATGTAACTGTAACAACCATAAAGGGCAACCAAACTCAGGGCAATTGCAATGGACAATGCTGATGCCATGTTAACCAAGTCAAGGCATACAACCTTCCTTTCTGTTAACAATGGGTAAGAACAACCAAACAAGAAAGAGATAGTATTATCAGACACATTAATCTCCTTTAATTTATTAAGCCATTACCCAGTCATCGGACATACAACTTGTTTGCAGATTTTCATTATTGTAAATAAAAAAAATTATTAATAGTTTTACATAGGTGGACCCTATCCACACTTTTAATCATAGGGCCCTATATTTAGAGGCCATTGAGTCCAATCCTCCCATTTTACAGATGAGAAAACTAAAAACCAGAGAGGTTAAGTGATTTGTCTAGGGTCACACCTCTAGTAAGTATCTAGGCTGACACTTAACACTCTTCCTTCTCCCAAGTCCAGTACTTTATCCACTACACCTAATTGCCTTCTTATGCTGTCTTATTGTCCCAGGAAATCTGAGGGAGTATTGATAAATTGGAGAATGAAATACTCTTATGCTATAAGAGATGATGAAGGGGATGGTTTCAAAGAAACCTGGAAAGACTTACATGAACTGATGCAGAATAAAATGAGCAGTACCAGAACAATTTATACAGTGACAACAATATTGTAGAGATAAACTGCTTTAAAAGAATTAGGAACTTTATCAGTGTAATCACCAACCACAATTCCAGAGGACCAATAATGAAACATTTTACCCACCTCTTGATGGAGAGGTGAAGCATTCAGAGGGCAGAATGAGACATATATTTTGTATATAGTCACTGCCGACATTTGTTTTTCTTGACCATATATGTTTGTAACAAGGGTTTTGTTTTTCTTTCATTCTCAATTGGGGGTAAAAAGGCAGATTTTTGCTGAATGAAAAAATATAAAAACATTTTAAAAAGAAAAAAATTCCATATCATCCCCAGTTTAAAATGCTATGGCAGTCCTGGCTAGAAGCTGAACTCTCTGCTCCAGGGGAACCTTTCCTCATTTTTTGTTTAAGATCAGTAGGTAACTGAATTATTTCTCCCTTTGTAGGAAGATACCCAAACTGGGCGGTTGTCCTCAGGAAGACGAAAATCCCGGTGGAAACGTGACTCAGGGGAATCCCAAAGGAGTCAATCTGAGGTGTGTACCACAGAGAAACCAGGGAGCTTGTTGATAGTGTAAATGGAAACACCTGTCACTAGACTGCACAGGGCCAGCAGAGAAATGGCTTCAATGAACTCTAATTTCTTCATAGGATCATAGGACCATAGGATTTAAAATATTGTGGACTATAAGCTTTCCAAGAACATATAATGTCCTTGAGGGCAAGGGCTATTTTCCATTTTTGTCTTATGTCCTTAAGCATAGTGCCTTGTAAATCTTCCCTTTTTTTTGCATCTGTGATTTCATTGGTATAAGAAATTCCTGGTCAGGAACTTTCTGCAACTTAGTCTCAGACAATTGCTTGGGACCAGTGAGAGGTTAAGTGACTTGCCCAGGATTGCACAGTCAAGATGTGTCAGAGCTGAGACTTGAAACCAGGTCTTCACAACTCTAAGGGGACCTCTCTATCCCTTGCCTCTTAGCTTGCACGTAGTAGGCACTTAATAAATACTTGTTAAATTGAATTGGATGGGACCTTAGAACACAGACCACAGAATGTCAGAGCACAGAAAGACCTGAGAAAACAGTTACATAATTGATCAGTATACCAAGTCCTACTCCAATGTGTCGTCACGTTGAGGAAATGACCCTGGATTTTTTGCATTTTGCAAGTATTTGCAAAAAGGCCACCAGGAAAATAACTGCCACATTTACACCAATACCTGCTTCGGAGGATGAAAAGAGAGAGATTTTATCTTAAACTTGATGATATCCTGTAAGTTATATCAACATGTGCCTTGATGGTGTTGTTGTCCTCCATTTGTTTTACTCATGTCTGACTCTTTGTGACCCCATTTGGAGTTTTCTTGGCAAAAATACTGGCGTAGTTTTCCATTTGCTTCTCCAGATAATTTTACAGATGAGGAAACTGAGGCCAATAGGGTTAAGTGACTTGCCCAGGGTCACAGAGCTAGTAAGTGTCTGAGGCCAGATTTGAATTCAGAAAGATGAATCTTCCTGACTTCAGGCCTGGCTCTCTATCCACTGTGCCTCCTAGCTGCCCCACATGTACCTTGATACTCACCTATAAAGATGGAATCAGGTGAAGATAATGGGAAATATATTGGGAAAAAGTGGATAAAGAATGAAAAATGAGAAAGGCTACAGGTAGGTTAAATAGGAGCCTCATATCCATACATCATAGTTTTTTTGAGAAAAGATTTGTTAAACACTGGACATGGCAAGCACCAGATGGCATTATAAAAATAAAATTATGTTGGAACAGTCAAGAAACCACTTGCTACTGATGTAGGAGACAGCTGATGGCACAGTGGATAGACCACTAGGCCTGAAGTCAGGAAGACCTGAGTTCAAATCTAGCCTCAGACTAGGCTGTGTGACCCTGGGCAAGTCACTTAACCTTTGTTTGCCTCCATCTTCTCAACTGTAAAATTAGAATAATAATAATACCTACTTCTTAGGGTTGTTGTGAAAATCAAATGAGATAATAATTTTAAAGGATATAACACAGGGCCTAGCACAGAGTATGCGCTCTATAAATGTTAGTTATTATTTTTATTACCAACTTGTTAGGACAAAGATCAAAATTAGCATAAAGCTGGACAAAAGAATACAAATGGGAAAAAAATATGGTATGTAGGTGGAACAACTCAAGCCTGACCTATTCAATCAAGACATTAAAAAATGGGAAACAGAGAGAAGAAAGGACAGAGATATAGACTACAATAATTTCGTATAGACATTGCCCAGTGTAAATCAATTGCCATAACAAGGAGACCAAGGGAGTCTAAAAACTACTTCAGTCAGCAAACACTTGACTTATTTGCCAAGCAAAGATATGGGAGGCAAGAAAAACTCCAATTTAGAATATAAACATATAGTCTTTTGGTGACAGCTGATAGATGACTGTGAGCCATATCATCACATGAAATGGAGAAGAACAGTAGAAGAGAAAACCAGTTTAAAGAAAATTTGGTGAGAGAACCAAATGGGCAAAGTCATTTGTAAGGCATTGAAGGATAAAAATGAAAGGATGACAAATAGAAGAAAATAGAAAAGATCTGTATAAAAAAAGTAACTTTTTTTTTTTTACCATCAAGGAGAGTAGAGCTGGCATACTTGGATTCCAATATCAAAGTCCCAGTTGTCCTTAGAAAGAAGGCAGAGATGGTACTAAAGAGAATGGAGATAGAAAAAGTAGTCATATCTGACCAACTGTATTTAGAGGAGATCTCTGTTGGAGGCAGCATATTTGTGAGAGTATTGAGGCATCTACTCAAGATATCTGAAAAAGGGGAAGATATCAAAGATGAATGAAAAAAAATTCAAACCTTATGAATACTGGAAAAAGGTAACAGAGAAAATCAACATCTACTGACCTACATACCTAATTTCCCATCTATATAAAATTTTGTGAGAATAATTTATGTACATATTGAGGGCATTCTTTCGTTTTTTGGCTAGGCAATGGGGTTAAGTGACTTGCCCAGCGTCACACAGCTAGTAAGTGTTATGTGCCTGAGGCTGGATTTGAACTCAGCTCCTCCTGAATCCACGGCTGGTGCTCTATCCACTGCACCACCTAGGTGCCCGAGGGCATTCTTGATGAGAATATTAGTAGGTAACAGTCAGGCTTTCACAAGCAATATTCCACAGTGGACTCCATCTGTACGTTATACTGGAAGATGTAGAGAATACAAGATACCGTTGTGTTTATTATTTGTTGCTTATAAAAAAGCACTTGATTTGGTAAAGCAAAACATTGGCATGAAGGCTCTTTTTCAACAAGGTTCACTTCATCAATACAGCAAAATTTTCTAAGACTTCTTGAAAGATTTAACAACAGAGATAATCTTTCTTATTAATATCAGATGAGGCATAAAATAGATGTGTTTCCCAAAGATGTTTGCCTCTGTGATGGAGGAGATTCAGTGAAGAATCTAAATCAAAAAGAAATTCTTTATGGATGGTGAAGTCTTCCATGTGCTCCTGTTACATGCTGGTTTTCATCAAGCCTTGAAACACCGCCAAACATCTACATATACATGCTGATATAGTTAGATGGACATATATCAGCATGTATATGTATGTCGTTCGGTCGTTTTTCAGTATCCAACTCTTTGTGACCCCATTTGGGGTTTTCTTGGCAAAGATACTGGAGTGGTTTGCCATGTCCTTCTCCAGCTCATCTTACAGATGAGGAAAATGAGACAAACAGGGTTAAGTGACTTGCCCAGGGTCACACAGCTAGTAAGCTAATAAGGCCAGATTTGAACAGGAAGATGTGTCTTCCTGACTTTAGGCCTGACACGCTATCTGACACTGTACCACCTAGCAGCATGTACATGTATATGTACATATATGTACATATATATTACATATACTTATACATGCATACTGCTAGTATATATGTGTAATATGACCGGTATGCATACATGTATGATTATATATGTATGATACATACACATATACACACACACACACACATATACCTTGAATAGATAGCACTAATGTATGAAATGACTGTAGAACTAAAAAAGGAAGAAGAGTGCTCTAGATTCACCATGTCAAACTCTCTGTGTGGTCTGAGCCAGATTAAAATGTAGTTGGGAAATGTTTAGGCAGGAATGAGGGCTGTAGGAAACCTCCAAATCGGTGAGCTCACAGAGTTTTTGAGTATCTGAGTCTAAGCTGGGTGACAGACTGCAGAAGAAAGTGGATATATGGGGGGCTTGGGGTCAGAAAGACCCCCAAGTTCTACCTCTACCACTAGCTACATGGCTATGATGGGCATGTCCTAACCTCTCTGTGTACCAAAGAAGTCTAAGGCTATAAAGTACAGGAGAAATGCTAATGGTCCCTGGTGGAGAGAGTTCTTTACACTTAGGAAATCACAGGCCTTGACATTTCTTCCTGCCTCCCAGAGTGCTAGGTACTGGAATTAGAAAGTTGAGAAACTGTATAGTCTCTGCCCTTAAGCATGAGATTGAAGAAGAGCTTAAAGGAACCTTAGAATATAGCTTATAGAATTTCAAAGCTGGAAGGGATTGTTGTATTCTAAATCTAGCATTCTTTGCAATGCAACTAAAAGTTTGAAATCTGCATTATGTTTCCATCAGAATATTCTTTGAAGTTTAGTGCCTTTTGTAGCTGTTGACCTGGCTCCATAGAACCACAGAATCTCCAGTTTGGAAGGGACTACAGATGGCTCTGGTCCAACAGGAATGAATAATCCCCATATGCCCCACTCTCCCACCCCTCCAGAAGCAGCCATCCCAGCCTCTACTTGAAGACTTCCAGGCAGAGGGAACTCATGACCAAAAATAGAATGAGCTGCTTATCAAGGCAGCGAGCTCCCTGGTGCTGGCGTCTTCAAGTGGAGGCAAGGGAATCACTTTGAGGAGATTATAGAAGGGATTCCTACCCATGTACTGGTTGGACTCGATGACCTTTCAACTCAGATTCTGAGGTCTGGGGAAACCAGGCTGACAGGATCCTGAAAAAAGACAGCATGGTTTTGGATCTCTGCTAGATCATGTAGGCTCGTGAAAGGATGGGTTTGGGGCAAAACAGAGTCTAGCCTGAAACTCTGACGCTGTGTCTCCCCTTAGTTTAATTTGGTCTCTGTCGATGTCATGTTAACTAGGGTTAGCCTCAGAGATCTGTCTGCTTCTGTCTTGATTTGTGCAGGAACCAATGGAGGTCACTCTGCAGACAGAGGTGGAGGCTGGAGCCAGGGGCTACAGCATCACTGGTGGTGGGAAGGAGGGAATCTTTGTCAAGCAAGTCTTGAAGGACTCCTCTGCCGCCAAGCTGTTCAGCATGAGAGAAGGTACCATCCTGTGGTATGGGCTGGGGGAAAGTGTGGGGTGGTGGTGGAAGGAAGAAAAAGTCTCATTATAAAGTCACCATCTTCAGCCCTGACCTCTGTCCTTAGCTCCAGACTTACATCTCCACCTGCCTACTGGTCATTTCCACCTAAATATCTCTGCCTCTTTCTACTTTCCCTGACCCATGTCATTAGTCAAACTCATTACAAAGGCAGTATAGTGTACTGAAAATTGAATGATGAATTTGGGTGTCAGAGGATTTGGATGGGGTCCTGGTGCTAACATGATCATGTGACCTTGGGTAGGTCACTTCTCCCAGGGCCCCAGTTTTCTCATATATGTTCCCTATGAAAGAAGAGCCATCTCCAGTTGTGCTGATCTATATCTTGCCACTGGACCGAGATGGTTTCAGAGAAAAAAGTGAGTCTGGTGACTTTGCATAGCCCTCCCTCACTTAAATCCAATTCAGTCATGTCATCACCTCCCTGATGTCATGGTCCTCTTCAAGACAACAACAACAACCTATGAAAGACAGCCCTGGGTCTTAAAATTTGCTTTCCATAGATCCCAGCCCCACTCTGAAGCCTATGGTAGAAGGAGAGGGGACTTAGCTTTTTCAAAGATATCTTTGCACAGTAGGTGCTTAATAAATGTTTTTTGAGTTGGCCCCAGGGCTTCCACCTCTCACTACTTTCTAGTCTTTCTTTGATCTCTAACCTCCAACCTGAGATCCGAGCTCCATGACCTTCCCTACCTCTAAGCCTGCTTTGCTTTCCTGGGCTCAAGGATCTGTGGTCAGCCTGACTCGTGCTCTTTACCAATGCCACTATAACTAGATGCCCCAACCTGGAATCTGCTGCTCTTCCCCCTTATCGTACATTACCCCCACATTCCAGACACAACTTCATTTTATTGTGTTTTTTTTTTCATGAAGAGGAAAACAATATATCGATTGAGAAATAATACACTAGCAGAAAGTGTATGTAAAACTACTCCTTCCTAACTAGACTGAATGGTACTTACTTTTTTTTTTTGGCTAGGCAATGGGGTTAAGTGACTTGCCCAGGGTCACACAGCTAGTAAGTGTTATGTGTCTGAGGGCAGATTTGAACTCAGCTTCTCCTGAATCCGGGGCTGGTGCTCTATCTACTGCACCACCTAGCTGCCCCAATAGTACTTACTTTCTAAGTTATTCTATGAAGCTAAAAGTCTCCAGACCTAGCTCAGCCAATCATTACCCTTTCTAGTCATAGAACAAACATGTGACTCTTTCATACCCAAGGTAAGAATGACATCTCTCCTGCCAACACAGCCTAATAATAGTCTAAGATTTATTTACCCGAACACTTGGGATTGAGCTCATTGGTCCATTCTACAATTCCAGAAGCCTTCTCAGCCTGGTTAATCAGGAAGCTTCCTAATGGCATGTGAGCTTGGAGATATTCTACCCATATTACTATGTGATATCTGCTGTCTGTCTACAAGGATAGGGGATGAAAAAGAATTTTTTAAAAGGTTTTAAATTTATTTTAAACTTAAGCACAAAATAAGAAAAGAAAAAAGAATATTGCCATGTACATAGAAGAACATAAGAGAGGATTTCAAATAAAGCAATAAATTTCTATTTCAAGAAAACCTATATAATGAATACTACACAGTTTTCAAAGCTGTTCAGCTGTTTTTTGCTTCCTTATAGGTTTTCTTTTGTTCTCTGCTGTGCAATTTTTACTTTATTCCCCTCAGAAGGCTACAATTAAGCATGTATATATATATATAGTATATGTATATATATATATAGAGTATATGTATATATATATATAGAGCATATATATATATAGATGTATATACCCCCCTGCATATACATATATACATATACATACACATATGTCATACATATACTTGGATATCTATAAACATGCACATATATACATTCATACACATATATGTAAGACCATACTATGCTTATGTCTCTTTGTTATCTGTTTCTCTGAAGGTGGATAGCATATTCTTTCATAAGTACAAGTCTTCCCATGTTTTTCTAAATCAATCAGCTCATCATTTCCTACACCACAATATTCCAACCCGATCCCATTCTATTTGAGAGATT